AGCAAATGAGAGAAACAAAAAGGAAGGAGAAGGAAATGTGCAGCACGGAGGTCATCATGTGCAAGATGGAGCGTTGTCACAGCTCAGCTCCCCGCCTTCGCTCTTCTCAGATCAATACCACCTTTGTATTTGTTCCCACCGTGTTGAGGCAGTGAGTGGTCAGTCCCTCTTGTGGTGGATGAACCAACATGGTCAGGAGACGTGCGAGACAGAAAAAATGAAAACGACAGAAGGACAAACACAGAGAGGTGGAAAGCTGAAGGATGGAAAAGCGAGAGAAGGAGAGGTGGAAATAAAGAAAGAGTGGACGTGGCGACCCAGTTCAATCACTGCTTGTTTGTGTTTTGGGCGGCGCAGCAGTTGGGAAGCATTGTGGCGTGAGGATGAGGGTGTGTGTGTGTGTGTGTGTGTGTGTGTGTGTATGTGTGTGTGTGTGTGTGTGTGGTAGAGGGGGTGGTCTGGGTGAATGAAACCTGCATTTGTGAGAATGTGACCTCACTTTACACACTTCATGTAAAGTCAGGCCCAACACTTGCGTGTGAGTACAGTTTGGGGACCTGCTATGGATTTACTACATATCCAAATAAACTGATACTTTTAGAGCTGCAGCTAATCCATAAATCAGAACATCAACTAATATTAATAAACTCTTAGACACAGTTTTAAATTCAATTCAATTCAGTTTATTTATATAACTGTCACAACAGATGCCGTCTCAGGGCACTGAACAGAAATAGTCATATATAAAATGTTAACAGAAATATTCATATTTAAACATAATAATTTAACATTATTTATCTGAGGAGCAGACTGCTTTGAGTTTAACTCCATCGCAGAACTCTCATCTTGAGCGAGCACGAAGGTGACAGTGGAAAGGAAAAACTCCCTCATGAGGAAGAAACCTTTAGCAGAACCAGCCACAGGACAAGCGTCCATCTGCTTCGACCGGATTTAAAAGGAACTCAGAGCCGACCTTAATGACCTCAGCCATTATTTTAGATATTGAACATTTAGTGTGACAATAATTATTTACCTCACATTTTATTTTCATTTTTTAATCATTTATATTGGTGTAAAATTTGTGTCTGTCTGGAAAATAAATCACTGCATGGATCATAATGAAACTTTCAGAAAGTAATCAGCAGTGTCGTAGTCAGTGAAAAACAGAATAAAAGCTTACAGAATATATCATCATGGCTTAATGACTCCTGCTTAAAAATAAAAAAAAGTGTATTTGCTTTTCAATAAAGAACACTCCATCACAGTCCTTGCATATTCAAATCAACAGGGATTCTATTGAACAAGTATCACAGGAAAAATATTTGGGAATAATTCTGGATGCTCAGTTAAACAATAAGAATCATGTTGATAAAATCTGCAAATATGTCAGATCCAACATAAATTCTTTTAAAATTATTAAAAAAAATGTTTGACACTTCAATGTGCAGGGATGTTCTTCAACTCAATGATTCTCTCACATTTGTCTTATGAAGCTACTGTCTGGTCACAGACTAACCAAACTACACTTAATCCATTGGAAAGTCTTTTTAATCAGGTCTTGAAGGTTTTATACAAAAAAAAAAAAAAAAAATCAGATTTCACCACTGTAACATTTTCGCTAAGTTCGGTATTTTAGAATTTTCCAATTTTATAAATTACAGTTTTCTTTATAATTGATCTTCAATTTTTTTTTTTTATGGATTTGCATCCAAGCCATTAAGCGATCGCATACAGAAACTGCAGGGCTACAGCAGATCTACCCGAGCAGCTGTAAATGGTGAATGTAAGGTTCCTTTCCGTAGAACCACTTTTGCTCAAAGTGCTATGTCTGTGAGAGGACCTGCAGTTTGGAACTCACTCCCTGTCAGTGTAAAGTCTGGAACCAGATTCAACATGTTTAAAAAGCAAACTAAACTCTGGCTGTGTCAAAAACAGCATTGCACTCATGCTTAATGTATTTTATTGTCTTAATCCATTTGTCTGACGTGTAGGACTCTGTTTATGATGTCAATATTATTTTTCATTATTTTACTCTTTTATTGCCATTCTGCTTCTTAATATTATTTTAGATACCCTGTGTATAAAAGCCCATCTAGGGACAAGTGCTGCAAATTAGCTCACGCTATAAGCGCCATGATACAGGCGTGGGACTGCTGCTTTATTCAGTTCGCCTATGTTGTTGTGTGTCTGTCCTTATCAAATAAACTTAAATTAAATAAATAAATTAGATGCTCATCTGCAATTTACTCATCTCAGTTCAAGATGGACACCACTGCTAATTTATTTTATTGAATGCAAAAAGGGCTACAGCTCAGTCAATTTGCATAACTTAAGCTTAATTTGTTGTGGTAGTAGCTGAGCGTCCTTCACAATGTATACTTTGCATGCTGTCTCATCTTGTTAGATCCATTAACATCACCTGACAAATGTATGTCATTCACAAGGTTTGACCAAAACAGCTTGAACTCCATTTTTTCTCATCACAAGGTGGTTTTAGTATAAAACACTCACATGAAAGGCTGTGGGTGATAGATATTCTCTAAAAGAATGCCAGTTTTATGTTTACAAGTTTAAGATTTATTGAAAATTCAACCAATTGTTATGCTTGATTATTACTAAGAGTGGACATGAGTGCCTACTTTCTTATTTATTTGTGGTCTGATTTGAATTCCTTCAGAAAATCAAGTATTGCAATTTATTTTCTTGATTAAACAACAAGCAGAGATGCCGTGGCATGTGGCGATCTTGAAGCCCTCCCGTCCATTTTTTCCGCGGTTCCTTCTCTCATCCAAAAATTGTCGCTGCTAACACAACAGAAGTTTGACGTTTTGGCTGTTCTCAAAATACCAAACTTGTATTAGTCACCAATGGGTGGTTGTACTGTTGCTACATTCATTTTACAACTGTTAATGATTTGTCTTAGTCATTCCTCTTCACTTTTTCCTAATCGAACATAATTTATGAGTCCATCTGTATAAGGTAAAATATGTCTGAAAGAAGATTACAGCAGTTTTCACATCTGGAAACCTATAAAAGGGTCATTTAAAGATATTACTGAAATAAAACGAGCTTTCAGTTTAACACAATAAACCCCAGTGCAACATTCATGAATAGAAGGTGTGTTAGTGTAAGAGAGCCCAGGTTTAACAGAATCCAGTTACTGCAAAACATTTCAGACATGATGCACTTCCTCATAATTCAGTTTGTGATGAATGATGGATTATGATGCTATAAATCCCTGTTGCACTTTAGCAGGGCATTTAGTGTTTTCAGCAGGCGTCTGTCTTGAGCCAGCTGTGATTTTCCTCTGATTGACTGCCAACAAAAATCCAAACGGACTGTCAGATTTACTGTCATTTTGAGACGTTATTGTTTCAGAAACCTCCAATTTGTCACACCTCGGTGCACAGAGCTGCCTCGTTGGCTCCACCAACATGAATCGTGAAACGCGTGTTTTCAGCCTTCTATGAAACGTGCCGTTGTCACAATATTAGGTTTGGTGCTGCACAGTGCAGGAATTACGAGAGTGAGTACAACAAGGTTCCTCTGAGTCTGCTTAAGGTCACGGGGTTAAGTTTGGCCAGCATTTGGGTGGAAGTGCTGAAATGATCGAAAGGTGAAGAGTCGCTTCCATGGATTTAGAGTAATAGGGGTCAAAAGCATGCTACGGCACCCGCCATGATGAAAGACAATGCATAGAGTTTGTAACAAAAGAAGAAAAAGTTCCTGATTTATTTATTTTTGAGAATGTGAAAGAAGGAGATGCCGAGACAGCGAGACAGCTAATGAGTTCTGGAGACTTGGCATTCTGCTCATGCTGTATCTCTCTCCTCTGTGGAAGAGCTGGCTGGAGCGGGTTTCCTGTCTGAGCCCTGAAGCAGGAGTAAATGAGGGGTGTGGGGGTGGAGTGAGGAGAAGGAGGTGGCGGAGGAGGGGGTGTTGGAAGCAACAGAACAGAGGAGAAGGAGAAGCAGGAGGAGGGTGAGGGGCGGGGAGGGACCAGTGTTGAAATTGAATGCCAGGGCGCCATGTTCTCATCGCCAGCGTTTCCATGGTTACAGGGTAATTCTGGCGAGTAAGGAAATTTCATTCACATTGGTATGAAGGAAGAAAAAAAAAACAGGAGGGAAATATTAACAAAGCAGCAGAGAAGCAAGGACTAAACCGTAGAGAATAAAAACAGATAAAAGGAGACAAAAAAAAGGAAGAATGAGTAAACATCTAAGGTTTAAGACACCCATCCCCCAGGCAAACCCTCTCTGTCTCATCCCTTGTTTTTCTTTTCTGTCTTGTGTATTCCTGTGATGCTCAGTTTGTTTGCCGCCACCCTATAAGCAAACACAGCACCCACCCACGATCTTCCAGTCCTTGCTGCAGCCTTGCAGGTATATGGTGAAGAACAAAGAACAAAACACTGCTAACTGGCCGATTTGGATATTTTTGTCAGCGTCTCTTTTTTTTAGGAGGAAGGCAATGGGGGGTTGGTGCCAGTGTAGCTCTGGAGAAAGGCGGCGGAGTAGTATGGGGCTATGAGAAATCAGGAGGCAGGGGAATTGTTGGCAACATGTTTGACACATTTGCTGGTTCCTCGGAGGCGCAGCAGAAGTTCATCTTGAAGCATTTGTCTTCGGTCGTTTCAGTTCAAAACAGAAAAAAAAAAATCAAACCAGCTAAAAGCAACGTGTGCACGTGAAAACTTGCGCACACAGGCGTGTGTGTCAACCTGTATACATACCGGCAAACTCTCACTCTCTGCCTAACAGGGGTTGACAACTGCATGGGGGTTTGACTGGGATGTCGCTGCAGCCAATGTGACAGCTGCACAGCCGTGCAGCCTCTGTACACAAATGTGCACGTAAACAAGCGTCATCCTCATTTCTGATATGAAGTGTAAATATTCTCATCAGCATGTGTTTTTACTGCTATCCATGAAGATGTGCACTGATTGAAAGTGATGTATGCTTATGTTTTACTCATATTGTTTGACTTGTGTCTTCCAGTGGCTGAGGAAGGGTTTTGGGAGTGTGGACTGTCTTACGAGTGCAGGACCCTCCTGTTCAAGGCCATTCACAACCTGCTGGAAAGGTAAAATGATTATTATCCGAGTTACTGTAAGAGCCACAGTATATATGTTGTTTCTTTTTTTAAAGTCTATTTTTATATATTTATTAATGTGAGCATTTGCATTTTTGTAAACACCCCCCCCCCCCCCCCCTCCCACACACACACAAATCTGCAAAGTTACAATCCCTGAAGTGTGGATCAAAATTTGTTATTTCTTCCTTTAGTACCTGAGTTGCCCAAAACTTATGTTTAAAAATGGATGATATGTCTCAAACGGTGGCACTTTATTTGTGGATGCTGCCAGAGTCTGTTTACTTGGGATGCGGGACAAAAAGTCCTCACATGCACCTGGGATGGAGAGAGGAAAGTGACACAGATTACTGGCTGAACAGAAGAATAAGAAGCGTACCAACACCAGCTAAATGTAAAAAATACATAAACAAAAACATTTCTTTTGCATATGAAAAGAAAAGCAAACATGATTCAAAAAGTGAGTTTAAATTTAACTAAAAATATGTTTCAGGGCTGTTATTTGTCTGTTTTTTAAAATGGATTTATTTAGCCCATTTATTGCAGAAAACTATTAATGGCAGCTATAATAAATCAGCTTGACTGTAAAACTTTATCAGTTGTAGACGTGCATCAAATAAGTGCTTTCTGGGCGTTTCAATAAAATCCATCCAGTGGTTTATGAGGTATTTTGCTAACAGATAAACAGAATTGACACCAACAGTTAATGACAAAGTTTTCAACACAGATGTATATACCATATTAATTGAAATGTAGTACTTTTTGGCACACACACAAAAAAAACCAACTAGTTTTACTGGATCCGTTCTTAATTTATAATAAAATAAATTACAGGCATTGTAATTTAATAATATTTATTAATCATAGTTTTTTTTTTCCAAATAGCAATATGTGGCACAATATGCAAATATTTTTAATTCTAACAAATTTTGATTTTATGGCTGAATCAATGGACGAAAATGTAATAATGATGATGACAACTATTATGATACTTGTAAATATCAAACAAGTTGAACATATTGTTAATGTAACAAAGCTACAGTCCACCACAGCCCATTTGGTCAGAGAGCTTAAAAAAGGGCATCCCACAAGGCTCAAAACTCGGTCTTTTGCTGTTTAATCTCTTAATAAATGACTCGCCTCTGCACTGCTCAGGTGTCTGTCAACTTTATGCAGATTCCGTTCTTTATGCACCTGCTAAGTCACTAGAACAAGCTGCAGAAACTGCATCCAACTGTATGTCTGACATCCAGCAGTGGCTCTGAATCTTTCAAAAACAGTCTCCATGTGTTTCTCAATAAGAAAATTTGATTTAAAAGAAAAATGTCATGTTCATTTACAAAATGAAAGAAAAAATCACTCTCTTGCAGAATTTAAATACCTTGTTTTGTTGCTAGATCAACAACTTAAAATTGATAAACATTTAAAGACAATTTTAAAAAACAATACAAAGTAATATTAATTGTTTCAAACTAAGTAGATACTATATTCATTCAGGCATCCCTGCTATAAATGCATTCTATGATTTTTTTTTTGTCATTTACCATATTGCATGACTGCATGGGCTCAGGCCTCTCCAACTGCAATCAAATGCATTGGCTCTTTATAAAATCGGGCCATAAAAATCATGGATAAAAAGCTAATCCGCTATCATAGCTGTGCCATTATTAAGAAATATAACCCAATGAGCTTGGATAGCTTTATTAGTTTTTGTTTTCTTAAACTATTTCATAAATGCTTCAGTCGTGTAGCACCTGAGCCATTACTTACATTTGTTGAGAGACAGAACAACAATAGTCACTAGAAGTTCTACAAATCATGACTGTAAAATGCCAGTTTGCAGGACTGACAAGTTTTGGACAGACAGCCTTCTCTATTGGGAGTTGTAAGCTTTGGAACTCATATCTGATCTTAAGACCATAAGTGACATTAAAATATTCACTTCAAAGCTTAAGAATTGGCCAAAGATGAACCACAATTGTACTCATTTTAAAATGTTGTAATTGTTTTAACTCAGTCGTTTTAAAGAAATTGTTTTATATTTCTTTTTCATCATTTTTAATTGGTTTTTACTGTTGATCTTAACTTTTCATTTAACCAACTGTTAAAGGTCCATCTAGGGAAGGCTGTTGCGAATTAGCTTTGGCTATATACACTGTGATGCATTCATTAGATTGTTTTGATCTATGTTTCTTGAATCTGTCCCTATCAAATAAACAATACATTTAAAAAAAAAAGTGTTAATTTGTGAGACTTCCTGTAGTGGCAGGTTGGCTGTAGCAGTATCTTGATGGCGCTTCGCCACAGTCTCAACTATCATCGGTTCCACACCAGTTAAGTGTCTGCCCACTGCTGGTACCCACTCAGTCCGGTTTATGGGACCACCTTGTTCGTGGTTCCATGCAAACTACTCCTAGGTGCCACTTTTGACATAAGCAGACAGCAGCTGTTGATTGGCCAGTGGAGCTACCTCACTCATTGACCCACCCAACAAAACTACAAACTACCGTACATCTGAACCTCCATTTCCTCTCTGACCGTGTTGAGTGAGTGCCGTTTTTGTTAGTTTCTGGTATGGAAGCTCTAAAAATAGTAACCAATGATGAGTTACAGACCTTCCTAACTTTATTGGTCGATGTTAGGATTCAGTGTGAGCTGGACGGCGACTCAAGAAACGAGTGCATTTACAGAGAGATATGGAAGATGACGTAGCAGCAATGGCTACACCTGGACTTATAAACAGTGCTGCGATAAGCTAAATAAACTGAAGTTCCTTTAAAGGGCGATTTAGGCGGAGTGGCTCGAACACAATGACCTGATATGATGCCGCCCACTTTGCACTGGCGATCCTGCCCACAGAGCAGGGAAACAAAAGATTAAAAAACATCCTTTAGGCACGATTTCTACACAAGTACAAAAACAAAAGTCTGATTAATATATGAATTCTTTTTTTTCTTCCTGTTTAATTAATCCTAGTTTGAAGTGCAACTCAATCATTAACTAAGCTCTTCATGTGTCCAAAACTCAAGTGAGTTGGAACGTTCAAGAAGAAATCTCCAAACGAAACAACTAACAGTTAAACAGATACACAACCTTGGTTTTCTGTCATGAGTTTCATCTTAATGAAATTATAATCTGAGCGTTGAATCACTTGCCTAAGCACCCAAAGCTCTCCTTTCTGAGTCAGAGCCATCTGTTAAATGAAGCAGCACATATTTGTTCTCTATTATGTTAAGCCTCAGTGATCATCATAAGAGGAAGGCTGAATTAACCTTCCGATTACCTTGGAGCTGACTCTGTTTATAGCTAACTGTTCCAACACTAAAGGGATAACTTTCACTTCTTCTTTGTTCACTTTCTGCACACTATGGCAACGATAAAGCCGAACTTTATCAAGGAGGTTTTGTATATACATATAATTAATTGATAAATGTTTCAATATCTCTGTATTGTTAAAACTAACATTATATTAATCATGTTACACAACTAATTTAGAATTTATGATGAATGTAAGACATGTTTTTATCCAGTTTTTCTGTTTGCACAACTTAGTAAGGAATGTAATGATCCATCTATCCATCCATCCATCACTGCTTGTTCCTTTCCGAGTTGCGGGTCCTCATCTCCAGCAGTTCTTGTGCAAGAGGCATGGGACAACCCGGACAGGCTGCAAGTCCATCACACGGGCACCATTCATTCTTTGATCAGGAGCTATGATCATTCATTAATGAAACCAAAAACCAAAAACATGCATGTTAGGCTGTCTCAGGCCCAGGCCTCCCTTGCAAAAGAGATCTGTGATCTCAATGGGATTTGCCTGGTTAAATAAAAAGGTTAATAATAAATGACTTTCAAAGGAAATATGTTCTTAGAGTGTGAAGGAAAAAAAAAATCTGATATTTCAGTGAGTCAGTAAAAGTAAATGTCTTCTACCAGGTTTAAAGAGGAAGATTTACTGTACATCCCACTGCTGCAGGCTTTTGGGTTTGTCATTTATAAGTAGATCTCCTGATGCATGCTCAATAATCCAGGTAGAAAAATCGAAAAAAGTTAAATCTGGTACTCTGGACATTCAAAAAAACTACAAAAAAAATTGTAGAAACGTTTCATCTTTCATCCGAAAGACTTCCTCAGTCTGAGGTGCTGTATTCAGTTCATTCTTATAAATAAATAAATACATTTACAAGTAGAATTAAAAGTAAACTTTCTTAGATACTTACTAAAGAGTATAACATTGTTCAGCGGTTTAAAATAATGCGTTAGAGGCTAAATGTGTACATAATGTTTGGAAATGTACTGTTTTTTTGTTGTGAATGTTTTTAAACTTATTGTAAGAATGTATTTAAATCTAACAGGGATTAGTTAAATGTGTCATGGAGGGTACATCTGGATATTTGCTTCAATCATAACTCTGTGCACAGGAACATTAATACGCTTCATGTGGAGTATGAGCTCCTAATTACAGGCTAAAAATTTTAAATTATTCCAGCTTCAGTTTAAAAAAATCAATCAGAAAACTGGATTGCTAATGAAAATTGAGTTGTGTAATTTTGTTATTCCCCTTATATTTGATTTGATTTGCTTTTTGGCATTTCATTGGAAGAGACTTTCAAATTTCATAACACACATACATTAATTATTAAGATTAAGATAACGCCATGTGCTTTGTACCTCAGTAGCTCTACATTGCAGAAAAGAAAAACTATGTTGTTCCTCAAGTTGTTTTTTATTATCAACAAGGAAAAGTAATAGGCCAGGTGATGGCAAGCCTTTTAATACACCTTTGGAAGCCCTGTTGGTTATGTACAGTAGTGTTTGGAGGGTAGAGCGTACTCCAGCGCCAACAGCTCCAAAAGGCAATGAAAGCCCAATTTTTCCAACACAGCAATCCAGAGCAGCAATTTCAGTCCCCCTTTCTGTAATCATTTTTGCTTTATCGCTGTCCTGTGGAAACTTGTCTCTTTTCTGTAGAGTTTCCGCTGAAGTGTGTTGCTTAGCAATTTAAGCTTTAAGAGTTAGATTTTTGAACTACTCAGATTAGTGTTTGGATTTTAAATGGCTAATTAAAAGAGTGGTGTTGAATACAGCTCTATCACGACAGCCACAAGAAACGCCTAAATTGCAAACGTTCTAAGTAGCTACTATGCTTCATTTATTATTTAGTATTTTAAAATGATTTCATACTGCAGAGATGTTGGCATGTTACATTACAACAGCTGTCCTACTGTGGCAACCAGGTTGATGTAAGATGTGCAACAAAGATTGGGAGTGGAGTGTAGCATCTCCATTACTACCAATCAGTGAAAAATATGCCTCAATTGTACTTCAATATAAAAACTGTGATCAGTTTGAACATCCCTAATTTTACATATTTTTAATAGAAATTGTTGATTGCGTATTACTGGTGGATCTTCTTTGTATTGTGTAAGTTCGTTTCAGTGGTCTATTTTCAGTATGTATGAATCACCCCATTAGAAGAAATTTACCCAACTGGCCAATAAAGTAGAATATATCATAATGTTATATCATACTGTCTCATCACTTCATATTGTGTTGTATATTTTTGTACTAAATCATATCAGTTATTGGATAATTTATTTCTAAAAACTCTGTATTTGAGCCATCCTGGCTTAGAACAGTAGTTCCTATAGTTAGGGTCAGGACCCCACAGTGGGTCACTAAACACCAAATTGCTGGTCTTAAAATGATCTCCAGATTTCAAACAAAATTTGAAATGATTTCTGCTAGCATGTTTTAAATATAAATGTTACAAAAGATAAAAACAGTTCTTGTAAATATGTAGAATACATACGTATACATAAGTTATACGTCATATGGCAAAAAGTTTGGGAACAACCAACTTAGAGTTGCACCAGTACTGATATAGGGGGTCAGTGTTGATTTTCAGTATTTGATGATTACTCTGATAAGATTAGCTCAATTAAGATGTCACTTACAATACTAAAAGAAAGAAGGAAAATATATCAGTATGAATGCAGAAATAAAACTGAACTGAAGATAAAAGGAAATTGGATCACTTACTAAAATCATTTTGTAACTTTGTGAACCAGGTCACATGATTTAAAGAGGAATTTACTGACACCGGCACACACAGACAAGTCAAACTTCTGAGAGATGTGACTCTGTGAGCCGTCTAAAACAACGCCTTACAGGGAGCTCGATGACTGAAGGGAACTTTATGTGCTCACATTTTGATCTGCTCAAAATCAAAACGCTCTGAAAGGATATGTGGCAAAGTGCCAACCATTATGAGGAAAGCAATTTAGCATACGACTGACAGAAAACCAAAAAGAGAAACATGAAGATTTACTATGGTGTTTATAGACCAAGACTGGGTTTTTCTGACTGAGCACCAATAAGAAAGCTTGTGTCGGACTGTACCCTGATTTAACAAAAAGTAAAAGTCCTTGCTGCTGCAGTTTATGTATAATATGCTAGAAGCAATTCTAACGAGCCAAAAGTAAAGTAGAAAGTACTCATTTTGTCTAAGTTTTGTTAAAAACAAAAATTTCAACAAGTTCAACTAGATATAAAGTTGCTGTATGAAATTATATTAAAGTTCACAACATGTTAAATCACTTCTCTTATCCAGCTGTAGATATGGTAATACAGTAGTCCCTCGCTACTTCACAGTTCGTTTTTCGCGGACTCGCTCTATCGCGGTTTTTCAAAATAAGATTGGCCATGACACAATTGGCTGATTGATGGATGAGCCGCATGATATGCATTGAATTTGTATTTAAAATAAGTTATTTTAAATCATTTAGCACCTGCTGCACCTTTGTACAGCCCATACTGCAGGATAAACTTCCTGCTGCAGCTGATCAGGCCACGCCTACTTCTCCATGCAGAGCGGAGAAGTAGGCGTGGCCGAGAGCGCTTGCAGGTGGCTGAGAGCAGCGGAGGCAGAGAGCTGAAATCATGACATTCAGTGTTTTTTTTAGAGCATTTAGAGTTTAGAAGCATTGTTTAGAATATTGCAAAAGTGTGGGAAGGATTTTAAACACCTTAAATAAACTACTGGTACTACTTACTACTTGTACTACTATCCCTATTTTGCAGTTTTTCACTTATCGCGGGGCTTCAGGGTACAGATCCCCCGCAATAAACGAGGGACGACTGTAATGTTTTCTAATCCCGACTTGATTTTCTTTCTTTCTATCTAAACGCTGCAGGTGTTTGATGGATAAGGGCTTCATAAGAGTCGGGAAGTGGTTCTTCAAGCCACATGAACTGGAAGGAAAGTCTTTGGGCAACAGGTAAGAATTCATGCACACTAATTATTTGCTGCATAGAACTTCTGTAAAATACGTTGGGTCTTTTTAGAACTCGTGATGCACTGGGGAACGTTTGAAATTGCGATACAGTGAATCAGCATGAATGACTTTCATGTGATCCAGTATTTGTTAAGTCCTCTTCAGCAGCTCGCCAGCGGTGTGAGTCTGTAAAGAACCAGCACATGTGAATGACAGAGCTGATAAAACTGTGAGTGAGAGGAAGCTTGTGTGTGTGTGTGTTGGCAGTGCGGGAGACAGACAGAAAGACGGAGTATAATGAGGAGTAGGTGTGATGACAGCTCAACTTGTTGCTTCAAACATTAATCCGTCAACTGCTCAATTTTCTGGGTGATGAAGATGCAACTTTCCTCACATCTCTAAATTACCCTTGTTTAATTATTGAACATTCAAGTCAATCTTTTTATGTTTAGTGGCAACAAATAATGAATAATAATAATAATAATATAAGTGCTTCAGTGCTGCACGCGACAGGATAAACCCACTAGCGACAGCCTTAAAGGGCGAAGCCTATATGAAATAGAATCTATTGTTATTAAAAATTGTACGGTGCACCATGCAAAATTGAACAAAATGTCATTTATTTTCTCAGCAGCAGTGTAGGAGTACATAATTTACATGCATTTTATAGACTTTGGTGTTTAGGTATATCTGTGGCTGTGTGTGTGTATTGTGGTCACCTCGTTTGTGACCTGAGTTCAGCAGTGTGATAGCTCGTTGGATGAAACTGTTGCAGAACCTGATGGTTTGGATCCTGTGGTACCTTCTGCCAGAGGTCAACAGAGTAAACAGTCCATATTGTGGTTGTGAGTTATCTCTTTTGAGTTTATTTGCTCTGGTCAGACTGCATTGAGACCAATGTCCTGGATGGATGGGAGGGGCGTCTTAATGATCTTCTCTGCTGTTCTCACCATCCTCAAATCCTTCCAGTCTGCAGTCGGGCAGCTTCCTTCCCAAAACTGAGGTGCAACTGGTCATGATGCTCTCGATGAGGATGTGAGCATAGTTGCCAAGTCTGCTTATTATAAGCGTCTTTGGGCTTGTTTTTTTCTAAAGTTGCTTGTAAATCTTGTGAGTTGTGGGTTGCGGTATTTTGGGATTGACTTTCTTTCTGAGTGAAACTAGTTGATTATCTCCCAGCTCCGCATAATAAAGCAAAAGATGAGTGGTAGTAGCTACTTTGTCCCTTCCACGCCCCCGTTTTCTGTTTATCGCTCCCGCCCAAGTTGGCGAGGCGACAGGCGCACACATTATGATGTCTATGGGTGCACACCCCAAACACTCATACTGTGGCTGACCACTAGGGGGCTCCACTCACACGCAGACACCAGGATGTTTTGTTTTTAAAAATATGTAGAAAAAAATTACATATGTAAAATTTATTTTTTTAATCAGAACTTAAAAGTATGTTATTCAAAGTGTTCAGCATAATTTTGCTGTTGTTTATGTGTAATGTCATAATAAATGTATGTTTATACTGTTTAAAAATGGCTTCTGTTTTACACAGTGTGGTGAGTTGCCAGTTGGGCTTGTTTTCATAGAGCTTGTTGCTTGTTTCTATTGCGAGATCTGGCAACACTGGACATGAGGCGGGTGGTGTGATCTCTTCAGCCTATGGAGGAAGTGCAGACGCTGCTGGGCTTTCTATAGGGACCCGGTGTTTCTTAACCAATACAGTGTGAAAGCAAATGTGCAACAAATATATATTAAATTAAAAAAAAAAACACATCACATTTGACTTGCAACCAGGGTGTCCCCGCCTCTCACAGTAACTGCTGGATATGGGCACCAGTGACCCCCGCAACCCTAAAAGGAAGGAGTGGGTAAAGATAAAGGACGGATGAATACATCACATTTGTTTAACAAGTAAGCTGTCTTGCTTTGTTTTCAAATTGCTGCAAATTAGGTGATGCAAGTTTTGGGAGAGCAGGTTGAAGGCTGACACGTGTGTCAGCGTGTTTTTCACTTGTTCTGCATAAATCAGGTGTGTTGTTGTGCGATGGTGACATCTTTTATTCTGACAGTCACAAAAACTAGAAAATGAACAAAGCACCTGAATAAAATCAATCAACTAAAACTTCTGCTCAGATCTAATGAGAAGGATGTGTTTTATTTGTTTAAATGGGAGAACAACTTTTAGGAGGCACGAGTTTATCCCTTCAATAAAGTTTTACAGACACAGATGAGCACAGATGTGGTGCCTCATGTTGATCAGTTTCATACAAAAACATCAACCTGTAGTGGCTTCTCCATAATCTCCTCTTCATGTGAGAATGTGGAGGAGTTTCAGTGTTGTGCTGCCTGTGGATGAATAGTTCAGCTTCTGCAGTGATGCAGATGATTTAACAAACCTTAGTGCTGAAGAGGGAGCCCCAGCGCTGACGCAGCTCTTGCTGGAGAGATTATATCTCCCCGTTGGCTCGGAGCAGCTGGGGTTCCCCCTGCGGACAGAACGGGCCGTCTAAGCTCCCACAGTTTCTATCATGACTCTAAAAGTGGACTAAACTGTGAGTGAGTGGGTTGTACATCCTGTTGGAAACACTCCAGAAATCAGCGTGCATTTTTAAACTAATATATATAGAAAATAGATGGAAAAATGTTTAAAGGTACTTTTAGGTCTCCTGTTCCAACTGCTGTAAAATTGTTTTGTTAGATTTTCTGCACTTGCTGTGTAGCTTTTGTTTCTTTCACACTTTTTGTCCATCTTTCTTCAAAAGCCGCCAGCTATGGTCCAAATCTGGACACTTTGCTTGTCCTCCATCATTTCTTGCATAACTTTGCACGCAGATTGCACACACAACAGCCATCATTGCACTGCTAAATATTCCTAATAAAACAGGGCACAATAATGCTATTATAACATTTAAATTGCAGCATAAAAAATGTTGTGTTTCTATGTTTTTGTTAAAAATTTTATTAACCTTTTCAGACTGCATGGGGCTTGACAATGACTTTAACAGATACACAATGACTGGCAGAGTTTTCACAGGCTAGTTAAAAAAAGACCAGTCTTTTTAGAAAAGAGGCGGCCCACTTTGTTTCTGAAATACTCAGATAAAAAGCATTGATGCGATTGTTTTAAAGAAAAGGGAGCAATCGGATGTATGATATACATTTGGAGTTTTTTGCAGCCACTTGCTAGAATAGTACATCACCTTGCAGTAAGACAAACCAAAGCAGAAAGTTTAACACAACTAAATGGTTGGAGACGGGCGATTCTAGGATCTGACCTTTAGGGGTGCTTAGCCCCCAGTATATACAATGGCTCTCGGCTTGAACAATGCGCCCCATGGTGTGGTTTGTGAGAAGTGCAAAAGCTTACATCACCTGATATTCCCAGCTGGTCTCCAATCCAAGTAAATGGACTGTACTTATATAGCGGCTTCCTATCTTATGAAGATATTCAAAGTGCTTTGCACTACAATCTGTGCCCTCATTTACCCATTCACACAGCACTCTACTATATGCAGAGAATAATCAGAGCTTTATCATACAATGTTGGGACAAACATCAGAGGCAATGAGGGGTTCAGTGTCTTGCCCAGGGAGTACTATTAACCAGGCTGACCCTGTTTAGCTTCTGGGATCAGGTGTGCTCATGGTGGTATGGCCAGAAACAAGAGCTTCACTCACAAATAAGACTTTTAAAGGAGTCATAGCAAACAAAGACAACAGATCAACCAGAAGTTGCAACATATATCTACATACAAAACACACAAAACAAAGCACAACTAGCTTTAAGCATTAACCTTTAATTTAACCATTAACCTATGAATTCAAAAAGTTTGTAATGCAAAACCCCAACAACGTTCTCAGAGGAAAACCTTGCTCCTGCAGGTAACGGGTGTTTACCTTCATGACAAATTGAGGTCACTGATTGGTCAGTTGCTGATGAGCGTACTGGATTGATTGACAGGTGACCTTGAGAATCTGACTGGTGCAACAACAACAAAAATCATAGATTTTACCGGCCTGTTTAAGACTATCTTCCATATTTATATTTATTCAATATTTTGGTGAATCTAAGATTTGAGAGCTAAGCTTCCTTACGCAATCCTAATGATGGTTTCTTAATTTTTCAGGGGTGCTGAGTTAAAATTTAGGGGTGCTTGAGCACCCCCCAAAAAGAGGCTAAACTCATCACTGGTTGGGTGAAACAGAGCCAGCTCAAGCTGCCTATCTGAGATTTTAACTGTCATTTGTGCAATTAAAGTTTTGATTCTGAGTGAACGGAGCAGAAAAGCTTTTAAAAACACTTTTTTTTTAATTCCACATACTCAGATCTGTGTTCTTGTGTTTGTTTGGTGTTTACAGTGACAGTTGCTATGAATTAAGTTTGTAGCAAATATGAGGGAGGGGGAATCACTTGAAAAGCACATATTGCCAACGAAGACAAATAACTGTTAAGAGCGGAGCAGACAGGTGGGTTGGAATCAAAAGAAACATAAACGCAAAGTAAAGAAGTGTTACAATTTACATCCAGCAACTCGCGAGAGAAGTAGGGCGTGTGAGAAATGCTCTGGTGAGTGTGCAAACGTGCAAACACAAGTGCAAAGATTCGCTTTTGGAAGGCTCACCTGCAGTTTCGATGAGTGCGGTGTCGTTCCTGTGTGCGCTCGTGCACCAGTGAGACTTCTGTTAATTCCTCTCCATTTTTAAAATCTGGAATAAGTTAACCCCCACCCCCCCCACCCCCCCTGCTGAACCATCGCAGACTCCTTCCTTCTGTAAATTATTGAACAATTGAAGGTGAACATCGAGAAGGATATGGAAGAAAAGGAAATTTCTTGAACAATAATGCGCCAACAAGTAGAAACCTTATGAATGTCCTTTTGTTCCTAAACTACTTTTATGTATTTTATAAATTTAAATATATATGATCAGCTGTCATCAACCCCCTCCCCCCCCCCCCCCCACACACACACACATCATCTCTTGTTTTAATTGTTGCAGTGTCACTCATTT